GCCCCCCTCTCTGCCCCACCTGCCTTCTAGTCACGTCTAGCCAGGGGCGGACTTTTTGCCTCCATGTGCCGAATAAATTTTGTTCAGTGCACTGAGGCCCGTGTGATTGTGCACCACCCGCGGAAACACAAACCCGGCACCGGACTCGCCGGCATGCCCAGCGTACAGGGAACCGTGCTGCCGCCCTCCCCGCTTCTTTGCATGAACCAGCCAAGCCCAGCCCTTGGCCTCAGGCAGGACGAAGAGATCCAGGGGCCCCTCCCGGCAAAGGCTAACAGCCGAACATCTCACTTACGGGAGGCTGAGTTCGGGGACACCCGCCCACTGCATCGCTGGCTCACAGACACAGACAAGGAGTCTGATTTCAAATAGCTTTATAGCTGGACAATACAAAAAGTTTTCCTTTAATGCTCAGACTGTTCCCCCAGAGACGGCCCTGCTGGCAGCTTAGGGGAGGTCAAACCCACACAACCCACACCAGCAACCACTGAACAGGGGACAAGTCACCAAAACAGCAAGTTAACAAAACCAGGAGATGCTCCCAACAGCAACCCCCGCCTAAGAGCAGGAGGGTGCAGCCAGTGGCAAACCACCAGGAGGGCTGGGATAGCCGGTGACTGCTACACACCAGCAGCTGTTAGCCAGCAATGCCTGTGGGCAGCAGGGAAGGGTGTGGCTACCCCGGGGCATGTGCCAAGCTGCTCCCAGCTCAGAACAACCATCCTGCCCATTCCCCCCACAGCTCGTGACAGGCCCTACGGCAGCCAGCCCACCTACCACGTACCTTTGGGCTCACCCTCCCCCACCCTCAGGGGGGAGTCTGCTGGAACTGGCTCATTTCCCCCACTCTCAGCCTGTGGCTCGGGTGCAAAGCAAGCAGGCACCGGCTGAGGGTGCTCTCGGCCCCCGGGGCTCTGTGGAGCTGCAGCTGACACCAATGATAGGTAGGGTCCTGCAGCTCTGGAACTCTGGCCCAGAATCCCGGCTTCCACGCCCGCGCGGCCTGTCCGAGCCCCACAGGGCCCAAAGCGACAGCACGCATGGTGTGAGTGAGCTGCCGGGCAGGCTGGGGAGCCTGGGGGAGAACCCTGTAGCAGGCCGGGTCCCTGGAAGGGAGGCAGTCCTGTGCTGGGCCATGCCAAGTGCGAGCCCTAGGCCTGTGCGAGGAAGGGGGCCTGTGCAGGAGACACCCGCAGACAAGGTGAGTGACATAGGGCGGGTCAGAAGCTGCCTCCACCAGCCCGGGGCCCACGTTCCCGAACACATGGCTGGGTCACACCGTGCACGTTTCCAAACCATGCCTGCCGCAGCAAGCCTGCCGCGCCTCCCTGCCGCCTGGGGGG